AGCACAGTGAACGCACGCAACCCTGTACGAATGCTTCTTTCCCGATTGCGTGGAAGGGGGAGGGCCAGTGCGACCCAAGGGAGGGCAGCCGCGTGTCCACTCTGCCCTCGGGGCCGCGCCCTCACGGAGCGCGGATGCAGCTCCCTGCCCGATGAGGTCGCTGCCCCCCGGCGGGGGGCGGCGGCCAAGCCGCGAGCAGAGAAGGGCACAGGGCTCCGGGGTGAGCCCGCACGAGGTCCGGAGTGAGGACCAGGGGCTGGCGACAGGGCTGAATCTTAACGGTGTTTTTCGTTTTCGTTGTGCTTTCCTTTTCCCTCGCTTCTGTCTCGGATCCGCCTTTACCGCAAAACGGAGTCGAAACGAAAACGGCCCACGGAATCACCAAAAACACCGTTTAGGTCCAGCCCTGGATGGCGACACGAGCAGCCAGATGAGGAGAGCCAATCGGGGATGGACAGACCTCCCTTTAGTAAAACGTGGTTTAGTGAAAACGACCTCGGGCCCCAACCTGGCGGGTGCAAACCTGGAAAATGACGACCGCGGCGCCCTCTCGAGAACCGAAAACGGACAATTCACTAATCGACGTGTCAGGGTAGGAGGTCTGTCCACCCCCGAGCCAAGACGGCCCAGGCAGCACCGGCGCAGACGGTGCTGGCACCCAGGGGAGCCGCTCACGGGCCTCGCGCGGAGAGAGGCACGGAGCCCGGGGTGCCCAGGAGGGAGGCCCATGGCGAGGGGGCGAGGCACACCCAATACTAGGGGGCAAGCAAACCTACCTCGCTTTTGACCACCCTCGCTTCCAAGCGATACCAAGCGATGCCAAACTACGGCCTGTACTGATCAGGCCGCTTGACGAGGAGGCGCGTGGTATGACTTGGTTTTGCCTGGAAGCGAAAGCGGGGTAGGTAATTCACGCTCTGAAATACCCAATGCCCAAAAACAAAAGGCGGGAGTGCAAAACATTATCCACTCGGTCGCCGAACGGGAAGCATCTGCTGCAGCGCAACGCGTGTGCCGCAACGTGGACCTGCGCGCGCAGGCAGGCCAGCCAACGCCTCGAAGAATCACCGACGCACGGGGATGTGCCCCTCATCTCGGCGCATGGCTCCTTACCTGGCTACGCACCCGAAGCTGCAGGATCTGTTCGAGCTACACCGCTCCACAGCCACACTATCAAAGCAAAACGTGTCTCGAGCCCGAGGTAAGAGACTCGTGCTTCGCTGAATCTCGGAGAGAAACCTGCAAACCTCGGGAGGGACAAAAAACACACAGACACAATTAATCGTCCCCTCCCAGGAAAATATAGGAAAATATGGGAAGTGGGGGGGAAAACAGAAACCCAGAAAATATATGAAAATATGGGGAATCTTTTTATTTGGGTGTTTGTGGGCCCCTTCAAAACCGTCCAGCCCGTTGGGCTACAGCTGAGACAGCGAACAGCGACAGCCCAAGGAGAGGACGGAGGAGGCCAGCACCTCTGCACAACGTAGCGCACACCCTGGCCCCGAGGAGCCCATGAACGTCGGGAGCGGCCAAGAGGGGGGTGTCCAAGAGGGGGGGGTGCAAATCATGACCGGCGTCATGTGCGCGGCCCAGCGTGGGGGGGGCAGTGACGTTATGGAACAAGAAGAGGCGCCATGAAATCTGGGGAGATATCATGGCCCACGCCATGATATCCACCCCCCCTAGTCATCACCCCCCTCTTTTCCGCCCCCGAGAACGCCGAAGGAAATCTGTCGCAGACTGTTTGAGAGCTGGCTGGCGCTTCTCTGGCTACGCACCCGCACATTCTCGCAGCACGGGCAGGCCGCCTCCACGCAAACCTGGCCGGGCCTCGGCGTGTGGCTGACGCCTCTGCTCTCGCGCAACTTCAGGGCGGGCATGCCCTCCCGTCTGCGGGTACGAGGCGAACATCTAAACATATAGCAACACGTACACCGAAGAATACACCAGCAACAACACAACAGACACATCGCCCCCAGACTGCTCGTTCCCCATCTTTGAATTTCCCCCCCCTGTAGAGGGACGTGCCCGACTCAAGACCGTGGCTCTCGGAGCTGGGCTCGGCACTGTGGCCGCGGGCGCCGCTGCCCGGGTCCCACGGCGGGCGCCGCGCCCGTCCTGCCGCCCTGCCCCCCCTCCCCCCTTGCCTAGAGGCCCCCCAGAGGGGGTCGGAGCAGATACTCCAGATTTCGTAATAGAAGGGATGGGGTCTGGACCCTCCAAGACAAGCCATTTCAGACCCCCCCCGTGGGAGAACCCTCCAAAACATCGTCCCCAGACCCCCCCAGGCCCTCCAAAATAGCCTGGAAGAGACCCCCCCCGAAATGAGACCCCCTCCCTTGTATTACGAAATCTGGAGTAGGGGTCGGAGGATCGCGTCGCATCGCCGATACATCGGCGATGCATCGGCGCTGCATCGGCGATGCACCAACGATGCCTCGTCGACGTGGGCAATACACGGGCGACGTCGACGTCGAGCAAATCGGGATCCACATCGAGCCGCATCGGCGATGTATCGGCGATGCGGCGCGATCCTCTGACCCCACCGACTCCGACCCCATCCAGGAGGCCTAGATTGCCGTCGCTCGGACGGCCATTTCCCGTGCCTTTTGTTGGGTGTCGTGCGTGCTCTTTTTTGGCCATTTGATCCAGGATGCTCCTCGATGGCCCCTCGCCGAGGACAAGAGTCACACGTCCGAGCGATGCCTTGCCATTCGTCGGGCCGAGCGGGGGGGGGGCCGCGCCCCGGGGAGGCAGCGGCTCGAACAGCCCTCAAAAAACAAAAACACGGCTGGTGCCGGGTGCCGGGCAAGAAAGGGTCCTTCGCAGTGGGTAGGGGGCCACATGCGAACCCTACCCCTACCCCCCACGATTTCTGAGGGGGAGGGTGGGGTTCACTTCGTTCGGGAGGTCACGAGGGAAGTGAACCCCACCCTCCCCCTCAAAAATCGTGGGGAGTAGGGGTAGGGTTCGCTTGTGGCCCCCTAGTGGGGACGCCAAGCAAAAATGCAATGAGTTCATCCTGTGGCTCGTGGCTCGTGGCCTCTCTCACGGACCCGCGGTGCCAGATGCAGCGCCTTCCTGCCCGCGCCCCGGCGCGATCCACCGCGCACGACTGCGCGAGCTGTCGCGCACACTCTTGAGACCCAGACCCTCTTTGCAGAGGACCCCTTCGCCCGAATCCGGCACGGGCTCCCGCCCCTGCTCCCGCTCTTGCTCACCCCCCTTCGACTCCTGCCCCCCCCCCCCCCGGGCGCGATCCATCGCGCACGACTGCGCGAACTGCTGCGTACAATTCTTGAGACCCTCTTTGCGAAGGACCCCTTCGCCCGGACCTGGCGCGGGCTCCCGCCCCTGCTCCCGTTCTTGGAAGGGGCCCAGGGACACACACAAATGAATACACACACATAAAACAAAATCCCCATATTTTTCCCCATATTTTCTAGGTTTCTGCCTTCCCGCCCACTTCCCATATTTTCCTATATTTTCCTGGGAGGGGACGATTAATTGTGTCTGTGTGTGTTCTTCCCCTCCTGACTCCTGCCCCTGCTCCCGTTCTCGCCCACCCCCATTCGACCGATGCCCCCCCGCAAGGCTGCAGAGCACCTACCGCAGGCCCGTGTCGTGCCGACCCCGACGTTGGCTTCTGGCACCGCGGGGGTCGCTCGGCCTTGGACTCTCGTGGAAGCTTGGACATCGGCACCAGCACCAACACCTCCTCCTCCTCCTCCTCCCTCCTCCTCCTTCTCCTCCTCCGCCTCCTCCGCCTCCTCCTCCTCCTCCTCCTCCTCCTCCTCCTCCTCCTCCTCCTCCTCCTCCTCCTCCAGGGGCTGCCTCCTCGGGAGGAAGATCATTCTAGACGGCGGTGCTGGTGGTAGTCTTTCGGCCACCGAGGAAGCCCGAGTCTTGCCACCATCCACCGAGATCAGGATCATCTTCCCTCGGCAGAGGCGCACCGCCTCTGATGGTGTTGATGTCACCCTCTAGGCCTCCGACGATCGGCCGCTTTCGAAACGTCCGATCCTTCAGCATCGACCGATTCTGGATCGCCGCTGGCGTTCCCCGTTGAACGCCGGCGGCGGGGTCGCCGAAAGTAGACGCGACGCGAACCTACCGTACCACCGCGTGAATCGCGAGAAGACCTCGAACGGTCGCGGCTGCCCGATCGCAGAGATTGTCCAGCCTCGGCCAACATCTTCGGCCGACATCGTCAGGTGGCGACATCCGAACCCTGCCCCCACCAACAAGCGATTCTCCTGAATCGCTGGGAGGGGTGGGTAGGGTTGGGACTTTCGCCACGTGTTCGACGAACTTCGAAGCCTACCCCCGCCGCCTATCGAGTTGCCGGACTCGGTGATCGGCGAGAGTAAGGTTATGTCGGGCGTGTCCCCTTACAGGGGGATTCTCGATGAAAAATAAAGAATACTCCAAACATGCATCCAAGAAGGTCAAAAAATACTAAAAAATGGTACCCAGACTATTTGTGGACTATTTTTGAAAATTCCCCCTGTAGAGGGACAGGCCCGACTTAAGAGTAAGGCTCGGACTTCGCGGTAGAGTCGTTCAGTCACGCCCCTCGCCGGGGGTCGCCGCCGGGCCCACGCGGCGTGAGCCCGCCCGTGCCGCGACCGCTTCCACTGCCACCGCTCGGACGTCCATTCCCCGTGCACGCTTTGTCTTCGCTCGTGCTCTCCCGGCACGATGGTTAGAGTCCTGGATGGGTCCCCGCGCAGACGGGGTCGGAAGATCGCGCCGCATCGCCAGTGCATCGCTGATGTATCGGCGATGCACCGGCGACGTCGGCGTGGGGAAACACGGTCTCCACATCGAGCGGCATCGTCGATGCATCCGCGATGAGGCGCGATCCTCCGACCCCATGTGCTCCGACCCCATCTGGGAGGCCCAGAATGGTCCAGGATGCTCCTCGATGGTCCTCGCCGGCAGCAAACCATGCACACGTCCGAGCGATGCCGGGGCGCAGGGCGGGAGGGGCGCGCCTGGCGGCAGCAGCGACAGCCTCACGGCCCGCCCGTTGAGGCGGTGACCTCCGCGGCGGCGCCCGCGGGAGCCTCCCCCCCCCCCCCTGTGGTGAGCAGCGGAATCACACTACGGCGCGAACGTGATGCAGACGCGAAACAAATGTGATGAGGTTGTTTACTCATCTTCGCCTTCGCAATCAAGCATCCCAACGTTGTGCACCAGACTGTTTGCACTCTTGTCTGCAGCTCCGTGTGCCCGACTTGGGCACCGGCGTAGAGCTAATGACTGCGGAGCCAGCTCCTGAACAACACGATTTGGGGCCATTGACTTATCGCCCCCGCCCTGTTCTCATGCTGCGCTCTGCTCGGATGCCCCTCGTACGACGGGGCCGAGAGGCTTGAGCAGGGACCGACCGTCCCGGCATTCCTATAGGCCTACCACGACATGTTCTCAGAACCCTAAAGCGTTCTGAGAACAGAAAACAGGGCTCTCAGAGCAGAAACCCGATGTGTGAAAACGAGGCGGCCTCAGCCAGAACTGCTCCAAGAACGCCCCGAGCAGACCACAGCAAGCTCGTGGAACATTCTTCGGTGGGCCCGTACTTGAGGAGGGACCGACAGTCCCGGCATTCCTATAGTCATACCACGACATGGTTTTAGAACCCAGAAATGTTCGAAGAACAAAAACCATGTTCTTAACACATGAGCCCGATGTGATAGAACAAGACAGAGTCCGCAAGACATGTTCTAAGAACATCTCGTGGAAACCATCAACAGCTTCTTATAACACTGTTTGGTAGGGCTATAGGCGAGCCAGGACGCTTCGCCGCTGCTTGATATACAGGCGAGCCAGGGCGCTTCGCCACTGCTCGAGCGGCGGCGAGGGCCCGAGCGGCGGCGAGGGGGCCATTGGCGTCGGACATTTGTAGGGCACGCGCGGGGCGGGAGGAGCCGCGAGGAGGAGTTTGGCGCTGGGAGGGAGGAGGAGAGGGAGGAGGAGGAGGAGGAGGAGGGGAGGAGGAGGAGGAGGAGGAGGAGGGAGGAGAGGAGGAGAGGGAGAGGGAGGAGGGAGGAGAGGGAGGAGGGAGGAGGGAGGAGGGAGGCCTGCGACGGGGCAGAGGGCGGGCCGGGGCGGCGGGCGACCCAGCGCGAGAGGCCCGGAGACCGGCGCGGCCGAGCGCGGGCCCGGCAGGGCGACGCCGGCAGGGGCCGCGCGGCCCGCCGGCCACCCCTGGGCGGCGGGCTGATGGCGTGAGGAAGAGCGCCGGGGGCGCGCGGGTCGCCGGCCACCCTTGGGCGGCGGGCTGATGTGAAGGGGCCCCAGGACACACAAATAAATACACGCAAACAAAAAGATTCCCCATATTTTCCCATGTTTTGGGAGTTTTCGTCTTCTCCCCCGCTTCCCATAGTTTCCCATATTTTCCCTGGAATCGACGATTCATTGTGTCTGTGCGTTTTTGTCCCTCCTGACGATGGCGTGAGGAAGAGCGCCGGGGGCGCGCAGACGTGGACTAGCGATCCAACAGCACCCTCGGAGGGGCGCCTACAACGCACAACCACGAGGCCTGGGCACACCCATCCCTGGGCCCCTGGGCTGGCGCAGAAGCCTCGAGGCGCAGGCCAAGCGTCTCGGGGTAGCGATCCATGGATTTGTCGCGCGGTCGCCAGATCCATGGATCGGGGGAGGTGCCATTCCCCAAAATGCAGCCGGTGCCGCCTCGTTCGGCGGCTGGAATTCGCGATTCTCCATGGAATCTGGACCCGTCGCTAATCCACGCCCTCTTCATCCATGGTTGCGATCGCCCTAGATGGGGTCGGAGCAGATGGGGTCGGAGGATCGCGCCGCATCGCCGATACATCGACGATGCATCAGCGATGCATCCGCGATGCACCGGCGATGCATCGCCTACGTCGGCGATGCATCGGCGACGTCGGCGTGGAGGAAATCGGGCTCCGCATCGAGCCGCATCGGCGATGCGGCGCGATGCTCAGACCCCATCCGCTCCGACCCTATCTGGGAGGCCTGGAGAGGTGGCACGAGCGGAGGCCCAGAGCGAGCGAGCCTCTCAGGCGGTGGGGTGGGTGGGTGGGGGGGGGGGCAGTCGCCGCGAGGTGGGCGCGGCGCACGTGGGCCAGCGCCAGTGGACAGTCCAAGAGCTCCTCCCCCCCGCTCCTCTCCCCCCCCCCCTCCTCCTCCTCCTCCTCCTCCTCCTCCTCCTCCTCCTCCTCCTCCTCCTCCTCCTCCTCCTCCTCCTCCTCCTCCTCCCCCTTCTCCTCCTGCTCCTGCACTACCCCCCCATGATGCTTCTATGGCGCCTCTTTGGGAAGGCCAAGGGAGCGAGCCTGGGGAGCCCCGGGAGGCTCCTGGGAAGAGTCCCCTGGGAGCTCCTGCTGGGGGGGGCACCTGGGAGGACCCGGAAGCCCACTGCTGGGCAGCCTCAGGGGAGGTCCACGGAAGCACAAGGGAGGCCCTTAGGGGGCCACATGCGAAGCCTGCCCCCGCCCCCCACGATTTCTGAGGGGGAGGGTGGGGTTCACTCCGTTCGGGAGCCTCCGAGCGAAGTGAACCCCACCCTCCCTTCAGAAATCGTGGGGGGTGGGGGCAGGCTTCGCATGTGGTCCCCTGGCCCTGGAAGCCGCGTCCTGGCTCGATGGTTCGTGAGCGCAGCCCGAGCAGCCTGCCCGTGCCGACTGAATCGCAAGCCGCGGGGCCCGCAGTGCTCACTGCAGACGCCGAGCCGCAGCGCGACAGTCGGGAAGCCAACGAGGGCACCTCGGCCACTCGCACACGGCTCTCTGGCAGACCTCTGCCTCTTCCATCTTCCCTGACCCAGGGCTGAACCTCAACGGTGTTTTTCTTTTTCGTTTTGTGTTCGTGTTCCCTCGTTTTGTCTTCAATCCAACTCTGCCGCAAAACGAAGTCGAAACGAAAACGGCCCACGAAATCGCCCAAACACCGTTTAGGTCCAGCCCTGCCCTGGCCATCACCACTGTGATAGCAGAGGCTGCCTGTGGCAGCGCACCCAGGCCAAGTGGGGGCGGGCGATGCGACGCCGCGACGCGGCGAGGCGTCCCTGATGGAAGAGGAGAGATTCGAGTGGACGGCGGTGGGCATGGAGAGATGGGGGAGGGAGGAGCATGGGAGTGAGCGAGACGTCCTCTCCGAGATGGTGGCCACGCCCTCGGCAGAACCATTGGCCAACAGCTTCCCCCTCTAGCCCCCCTCCATCTCGTACTGTTCACCACCGTCATCATCATCAGCAGCAGCAGCAGCAGCATCACCATCATCCTCCTCCTCCTCCTCATCATCACAATCATCATCAACATCAACAGCATCACCATCACGATCATCATCATCACCATCATCGTCAACATCATCGCCACAACCATCATCATCATCATCCTCAACATCATCATCACCGTCATCATCGTCATCGTCATCACCAACCCTATCATCAACAGCATTATCACCATTCGTATCAGCATCAACACCATCAGCATCACCACCATCAGCATCATCATCACCATCACCATCACCATCGTCATCATCAGCATCGGCATCATCATCGCCA